AATTTCGTTTGTGATTGATTATTTTGTTTGCTTTACAAATTAAATGGCTGCAAAGTTAAACTGTTTCGCGGACCTTGATGTTTCGTTACTGTTTATTGATCATCAGAGGTTGCATTTAATTGAAACTAAACTCAATATCTATCTTCTATCTTCTTCTTCTTCTATATATATAAAAATGTATTGCTGTTCGTTAGTCTCGCTAAATATTTTTGGTCTTGAATTATTTGTGGAAGTCCAGAGAAGGTTTAAAAGGTAGATAAATATGAAAAAGCTCGGAATGGAATAAAAATAGCACTTTTGTTTTTCCTTTGATGTGTCCCCCGTCGGACGGATTCTTTTTGTTTGTTTCAAATTTATTTTATATAATATTAGTATAGACAAAAGTTTAGGTCTTTTATTTATCGATTGAGGCACTACAAAGGCTGCCGGGTCAGCTAGTGCCTAATAAAAATAAAATTTAAAAGGATAAAGTATACAGGAACTTTTAAAATACTATTAAAGCGATCGTCGTCGCCGCTAATGCGATACAAATGATATGCCATGATATGTGGCGGGCTTCTAATCCTTGGCAAAACTCGTAAGTGGGCTGACCGAAATACAAACTTTATGTTTCCACATGTAATGTAAATCTAATGTAAATCCCCTTGTATTAGATGTAGTTGTAGATATTAGTAGTATTTTTAAAACCAGTATTTGCATTTGGTGTTAATGGTAGGCAGCGATTTGACCATGCCACTGCTATCGCTTATCTCCACGAGCGACATTGACGACTCGTCTGTCTGTCTACAAAGTCAATTAAAAGTATTCCAAAAAGTACGTGTAGCGGTAGCCATTACAGAACACAAGATATTTGACAGATGCCTGAATCTGTACTGTTCAATTATTAATTAAATTAGTAATTGTACTGTTAAAAGTGAGACGTTACAGCTCATGTCTCAAGGTGGGTGGCGGCATTTAAGTTGTCTATGGGCTTCGGTAACCACTTAACACCAGGTGGGCCGTGAGATCATCCATTAATTTAAGCAATAAAAAAACTTGCTAACGACATTTTCAAGATAAACCTGCTTATATACAAGTTTCGAACAACAACATTCAGACCGTCGGTCTACCGAGCAATATCACCCGCTCGGTGGAAGATCTCTTTGTTGTATACCCTCCACATACGTATCTGTTATTAGTAGTATTTATGGATTGGCAACTTCTCTGTCACCTTATTAGTCGACCCACATTTGATGAAAATAAAAATCAGATCACAATGAAATTCTAAACAAGTTAAAGTTTATTAATGACGAAGTCACCAATCGCGCCGGCAGTTAAAAATACTACTTTCACGTAGACCGATAATGTGATTACGAAAATACAAGCGCGGGCATCCGGTGAAAGGGGTTTTTGGTCTTAAGTCGGCGACTCGTAATGAACTGTTGTGGGTCGCAGAGATGGGATATTATTTACGACTGCGGGTGACACGGTGCGTACGTCACCGCTCTGGTTCATTGTTCGAGCGCGTTGGCACACGCTAATGCTTGTCAGCCTAGCAACGTTCTCCAATTCCAACGTTCCATTCACCTCTCACTGAGCGTGAACGGTAATGTTGCACACAGCCGCACCCTGGGTAACAACATTTGTTCATTTAAAAATGTTTCAAAATATACGTCTGTGAGGTGTCGTTTATCGGGAATGGCCAATGTTGGCTTGGAGTTCCCATTGACTCGCGATTGATGTGTACGTGGCTGACGCCATGAAATTTTCCTTAGGAGTCGATGACCAAATACAATTGGGTTTTTCGTATAACAACGAACTAGACAATTTCGTGACGTTTCTGTTTTATTTATTTCTTAATCCGACGTTTCGAATACTAAACATTTTTCATGGTCACGATAGACTAGAAAGCGTTCTTTTACGACTCATGAAAACCTAAGGAAATGTTATTAGTTATTCTCGTTTCGTTAGTTGATTCGCGATTACACAACACAGGCAGCTTAGGCAGACGAGCATACGGCATACCTGATGGTGACTGATTACCATCGCTCATGGACATCAGCAATGCCAGGGGCAGAGCCAAGCCGCTGCCTACCGTAAAACGTTTGAAGGTGGGATGGTGAAATTCACGTTGTGATATCTATGTGATTTTTTCGATGACCACATAAATCACCTGCAGAACCGTGAACCTATCTAGCACAAAAAAAAAATAAGACTCAAAATTTTATAAATTTAAATAATTAATTTCACTAATTTGTAAATGATTATCTAACATCAATAGGCACACTAGTCCCAGATGTATTAATTACTATTCAATCAAATTATGAACATTAGAATTTTATTGCAACATTGTAATGGTAACACCTAAGTCCTAATTAAGTTGCTAATTTAAAGATTTACTCATGGCAACCCTCTCTTCCGTTCCAGCCTTTTAGCCCCGTGCATGGCGACTTGTAATTAAATTATAATAAAATTAGAATAAACGCGAATGTTCATTTTACAATCCTGTATTTTATTTATACAACTACTATTTTAACAAATAAAAAAAATACATGTGTGCAATTCACACGTGGTAGAAGTGAAACTTTCCAAAATTAAAATACAATTATCCTAAACGTCTTAAGTATATGTAAAATTTTGTCATTAGTAAATAATTTTAAGGTAGCGCCCTCTGTGAATTTTAATTTCACGTATAATCCTAAATTAAAATTCACTACAAGAGCTTTCATACACACGTTAGTATTAAAAAATCTCACAGATGGCGCTGTATTTAAATAGTATGTATATTTCTGTCTCATACTTTGCTGGCTTCATCCTACACATTTTTGTATTTGTGTCTCTTACCTGTCGTTTTTTCCGTTGCATCCGGTTTGAAATCACAACGATTCTAAAGAAGTTTTCACTTCAATAAATATAATGCGGTAAATAGATCTGAGACGCATGCTCCCACTCTGATTAAAGAATATAATATGTAGTTTACGTAGTGTGTTCGTTTTTTAATATCGGTCACGTGTACGAGCAGACGTCATAGAGATCACTTGCGTAGGTTTTATTTGTTCGCATAATATCATGTTCAATAAAAATTATAAAACAGAGTAACAAAACTAAATGTATTTCCCTGGTTGAGTCCGAGCTCGCACACCTGCCCTAGTGAAACTGGAAAAGCCTTAGAGCCACCAGTAATGCTTCCTTCTTAAAAAAAAAGTATTCCATCTACTTGTAAACCACGCTTAATTACTCTTCCGATATCATTTAACGAAGAGCTCCGTACAACGAAAAAGAACAACGTGGAAAAACCGCCAAGGGACCGAATCTTATCTATTTTGTGAAAGAAATATAACTGCGTAATCTCAGAGGAAATCTAGACGACGGAATTGTTCTGGGATCATAAAAGCCAAGACGAAATTATGTGTTATCTCAGAACGCTTGTTAACCGTAAATATCGACACAAAATCTAGATGTAAAATACGTTAGGCTCGGAGCGAACCGACGACGCGGTGTGAGGGGACGCATTCACTCACTGCCTTTCACTTCCCGCTTTTGTCATAGCCGTTCTAGGTAACGGAAAGGTAGGCGGCCTTGTAGCTTGCACGCCTCCTAGGTGTCCCTTCCCATCCTAATTAGATTATACACTATTAGAATTAGAACCACACATTAAAAGAACATTGAGCTAGCCCGTCTCTACTGAATTAACAACCAACATAAATGTATGACAGAACATTTAATTTCAAAGATCTCTTACAAATTTTATGTTACATAAAATAATTACATACAATATTCAAATCATTCAGTAATATAACACTCGTGCCCTACAACCAAACACGACGTGCAATTACAAGAATTACCTCCAATTACATGACATCACGGCCAAGGAAAAAAAAAAACAAATAACCATTTAATTTGTTAGCGAGAAGCGGTCATAGAACATTCGCATATGTTAGAAGGTGAGGCTCGAGGGCCGTGTTAACCTTGGCTTTTGAGTGGCGACTTTCACGGTTAGACACGCCACGTTACATAAGACGTGCGGGTATACTCCTGCAGACGCCGCCGCCCCGGCATCTACAGTGACGACACCATAGCCACTCACTAACGACTAAACCGGTTTCGTGAACTTCAACAATGCCACCGTTTTAATCAATTGCAGATATTGCAACACACACTTCGCTATTAATGAATTGTAACTCTATCAATCAATCAATCTATCAATCTGTTGTTTATGATTTATAACGATTGACACCTGGCAATAGAATAGGAAAACTCGAAAACAAGCTCCAAGTGGGAAGGGATTACGATTGATAAATTGCTCGATTGTAATTTATGAAACATTACATTTGTAACGTGAAACGCATAGAATGAAATATTACAAGCATTCACGTCAAAAAATAGTTCACTATTTGTATAATTGTTATAAAAATTAAATCTGCTTAGATCGCCAAGTTAAATAAATTAAAGTTATCTATCTATATCTTTACTAATATATAAAACTACAGTGGTTTTTACGGATGTTCCGTTATAACTACTGAACCATGCATCCGATTGACTTGAAACTTGGTATCCATGTAGAAAATACATGTACTTAATGGATAGCCTAATATTTATATGAGTGTTGAACTCCCTAATAATAATGACAATAAATAATAATGTTAATTTTAAATGCGAAGCGAAGCGGGCTAGTTCCGCGGTCGGGAACTTTTTTAATTATTACCCCAAAATATTTTTGTGTAAGTTGATATTACCCCATGGCGAAGAACAAAAAAAACGAAATCGCTTCTTTTTAGTATCTTTCATAATATAGCCCCATGATAATTTTGAAAAGAAAACAATAACTAAAAATTTAACGATTCTAAAGAAGTTTCACTTCAATATATACTTTTACTCACAAAAGTTTCATTTTTACCCCCCAAAATTTCATTTTACTCCATTTGGGGTAATTTACCCCGGTTCCCCGACCGCTGGGCTAGTTCGTTATAAGAACTGTTGAATTTTTAATAGTTGTAATATTGTACTATAATTTGTTGAAGGTACAAGAGCGGGGTGCGCTCAGTGAGGGGCGGAGGCGGCGCGGGCGCGGAGGAAGCGCGGCGCGGCGGCCTCAAAGCGCTGCCGAAGCGCGCCCGCACTCGCTGCCGGGGCATGAACATGGGCCAAAAGCTTTCCGGCGGTGTCAAGTCGGTGTCGCGCGAGTGCACGGCGCCGTTCAAGGCGGTGGTAGCACGCGAGCTGGCTCCCGAGCCGCCCAGACCTGCGCGCCTGGACGCGCTGCTCGACGCGCCGCCCGCGCATCCAGAATTACAGCTCAAGCATGCATGGAACCCAAACGACAGGTGAGGAATTGTTCGAGTTTTTTTTTTGTATCTTAGATGTATGGACGAGCTCACAGCCCACCTGGTGTTAAGTGGTTACTGGAGCCCATAGACATTTACAACGTAAATGCGCCACCCACCTTGAGATATAAGTTCTTTTTTTTTTGCCACGTACTATCCTGCTATGGAATGAGCTCCCCTCCACGGTGTTTCCCGAGCGCTATGACATGTCCTTCTTCAAACGAGGCTTGTGGAGAATATTAAATGGTAGGCAGCGGCTTTGCTCTGCCCCTGGCATTGCTGACGTCCATGAGCGACGGTAACCACTCACTATCAGGTGGCCGTATGCTCGTCTGCCTATACGGCGACAAAAAAAGTGAGCCTAATTTGTTTTTGAAAAAGTATTAGCAAATAATCTCATTTACAAAATGTATGGTAACATACATTTGCTGATGGTATTCCGCATTACGCCAACGCATTACTGTTTAGTAGTTGGTGTGTACAAAACCAATAGAATGCGCTATTTTATCGCGGTAGCCTCATTAACATTCTCTAATGTATGAGTCGCTCTAATGATAATGAAGGAATAATATATTTTTTATTGCTTAGATGGGTGGACGAGCTCACGGCCCAGCTGGTGTTACCGGAGCCCATAGACATCTACAACGTAAATGCCACCACCCACCTTGAGATAAGAGTTCTAAGGGCTCAGTGTAGTTACAACGGCTGCCCCACCCTTCAAACCGAAACGCATTACTCCTACCCGTGTGGACACACAAGGGGTCCTACCACCAGTCGTCATTACGCAAATTATTATTTTGCGGGTTTGATTTTTATAACACAATGTTATTCCTTCACCGTGGAAGTCAATCGTGAACATTTGTTAAGTACGTTCATTAGAAAAATTTCGTCATGGCAGGGTTGTGGTACCTACCCGTGCGGGCTCTCAAGACGTTCTACCAAAGTGACATAATGAAATTTTCCAGGTCATTAAACATATTCGTTAAGGAAGAAGACGCACTGACATTCCACCGGCACCCGGTCGCGCAGAGTACGGACTGCATCCGCGGCCGCACGGGCTACACGCGCGGGCTGCACTGCTGGGAGGTGGTGTGGCCGGCACGACAGCGCGGCACGCACGCCGTCGTGGGCGTCGCCACATCCCACGCGCCCCTGCACTCAGTCGGCTATCAGAGTTTAGTCGGGGCCACCGATCAGAGCTGGGGCTGGGATTTGGGTAGAAATAAGGTGAGTTCAACCAAAGCGTGGTTATATTGCCCTAAGCATTTCCTAAGGCAGGAACGCGAGGAGTGAGGTTGTGTGATTTGTTTTATTTTGTCAATTTACGGTACTTTATTATCTGTTTAATATCTGTGCAAGTGCACAAATGTGGGAAAATGAAACAAAGCCGCTGAACGTAACCTCTCGGGATTCTCCAAAAAGTCCACTGAATAAGTCTCAGTAAATGACCACCATTTTACTGAGATTATATGTCATCCCATATCATCTCATCTCATTTCATTTCATTTCACTTCATATTATCATTTTTCGTAAAAATATGAATATAAATTAAAATAAGACATGACTTAAAGGTCTTAGTTACCAGGTCATAAAATCCCTTAAAAAAATTAATAAATAAGGCGGTCCAGTATGAACGTGGACACTGTAATGGTCTAAAGTGCTTAAGGAAAATCAAACTAGTTTAAAGACTACGCAGCTATGTTGCGTAGTTAAAGAGTTCCTTCATACAATTTAGTTGATTAGTCCACGGGCTTTAGCACAACATGAAATCACAATCACTCTCTTCAAACTAACAGCGACGCGCCATTTCCATTGTGTAAAACCACATTTACAGCTGGTTCGATAGAAAAGTTTTTTTAATAGAGAATTTATTGGAATTTGGCTGTATTTCAATAAAACTCTAATCAGATTTCTTTAAAAGACGCAACAAATTATATAAGCTCACAAGTCACATCAGTCTGCATTCGCACAGATAACACACATCAATAGAAATAATGTGCACCAAAATGTTAACAAATACATATATGAACTATTTTATAAATTTACTAGTTGACCCGGCAGACTTCGTAGTGCCTCAATCGATATATAAAAGCCCTTAACTTTTGTATAAAATAAACTTTAAAAAAACAAAAGGAATCCGTCCGACTGGGGACACATCAAAGGCAAAACATAATTGTTATCTTTATTTAATTCCGAGCATTTTATATTTATCTACCTTTGAGACATTCTCTGGACTTCTACAAATAATTCAAGACCAAAATTAGCCAAATCGGTCCAGCCGTTCTCGAGTTTTAGCGAGAGTAACGAACAGCAATTCATTTTTATATATATAGATTTATCTAACAGAAGTCCGTAAACTCGTTTCGCGATTCGTCTACCTCCCGGGCCTTTTTTTCCCAATTGTTTTTATTGGAGATCAATAATCAAGGTTGTGTATGTAAACGTTTCCAGGTGTTCCATAACGCGAAAGGCACGGGCGGCGGCGGCACGACGTACCCGGCGCTGCTGCGGCCCGACGAGCAGTTCCTCGTGCCGGACCGCGTGCTCGTCGTGCTCGACATGGACGAGGGCACGCTCGCCTTCTGCGCCGACGGACGCTACCTCGGCGTCGCGGCGCGCGGCCTGCGCGGCAAAACGCTCTACCCCATCGTCTCCGCCGTCTGGGGGCACGCCGAGATCACCATGAAGTACATCGGCGGGCTAGATCGTTAGTATACAATGTCTTATTGTGGCTTTTATAAGACATACTCGACTGTGTATCGAAGCTCATAGAGATCATATCCGGTCACCGTCCTCGCCGAACCCGTCGCTTGCGATGAAGGGCTCGGCGAGTAAATTAACCCATAGACACAGCCCACTGAGTTTCTCGCCGGATCAGGCGGTAGATTCTGCGAAGCGCTGCTCTTGCTAGGGCCAGTGTTAGCAACACTACAGTTTGAGCCCCGTAAGCTCACCTACACGTCAAGGCGAAGCTGAAATTGCCTCTCAAGGTATCAGCATAGGTAGGAAAAAAATAGGTTGATACTGATGTACCTCTCTAATGATCGACCACTGCTAAATCTCTCAATCAATTCATAAAAATGAATCGAGCAGTGTTAGGTGCTGTTGGTTAGCGAGATAGAGAGTGAGTGAGAGACGCTTGGTTGGTTACAGCGGAGCCGCTGCCGCTGATGGAGCTGTGCCGGCGCGTGATCCGGCAGCGCGTGGGCCGGGGCCGGCTGCGCGCGGCGGCGTCCCGCCTGTCGCTCCCGCCCGCGCTCACGGCGTACCTGCTGTACCGCGCGCCCTAGCGCCCGCCGACCCGCACTCACTCCGCGTACACGATTCCGATTTGACTTAACTTTTATTTTAACGTTATCTGTGATAATTATATTTTAATGACGAATTGAAATCGGTTATTTCTGAATTCGATGCATCCCGATCGGCGCTCGTCTCGCTGCGTCGATCCTCTTCCGTTTCTGTCCTCCTTCGTCGGTGTTCGTCAACTAGTTTCTGAGATCCGTTCGAACGGATCGGCGTCCGCTTCGCATTCGATCGATTCGCCGAAACCAAGCAACGTTGCGGCGGCGGCGGCAAGATCTCGGCGAACCTTCCAGAAACGAGCCCCCCCCCCTTTGATCTCCAAAATACGATCAGTGCTTTAATCGACGTGTTTAGTCAGAGCGAGGAAACGTGTCTCAGATTGAACAGGTGCAAGTTTTGTGACTCGAAAGACTATATTATATTTGTGACAAGCAAATGTCGTTGTTTATGTAACAATAGCTTAAGCGTATCGCTCGGACGCGGTCGCCCCCAGGCCAGTGTATCGTTGGCAATCTTACTATGCCGGTCGATTTAGTGACTGGTTTTTTTTTAATTATTATTTTAATTTTTATTTAGTACTTTAAATTCCTATTGTAATGATTGTGTGTGCGCGTGCGTGTGTCTGTATGTATATACGTCTGCAATACGCATCGCAACTACGAATGAGTGTGTCGAGTTCGGAATCGTTTTAGCTGACACTTCCTAAACGTTTTGACTTACTTTTGGTCACATCCAGCGAGTGTATGTCTTCACGACGTCTTCTTTCGTGACTAATTAGACTTATTAGATGTTAAATGCAAATTATAATGAATTAAAGATAATAATAATATTTTGAAGGCACTTGTAAGAGATATCGGCCATTCGATCCAGATTAGCTGTAAATGTAATTACTTCCATTTTAACTAAGCATGTTTCATACGTAGGTTGTATGGCGGCGTGGATATACGAACGGCCTTTTTACCGTTTCTCATACTCGCAGTACCTCTATAATTAACAAACTGTAAAATATATGATCATGTGTTTGTGTTGTATGTAAACGCATAGGGCGTTTTTTTTTTATATATATATTAATAACGCTGAGTTATGTGCGAGCGCTATAATAACGATGATACTATAAAACTGCCAAAAGAGAATGACCGGACCTGTGTCTGTGCGTGTGCTTGTGTGCGTGACTGGGCACGTGTAAAGTCGACGTATGTAATTTGTTGTAAGTTTGATAAATAAAACACGCAAAGCTCATTGAAGTAAAGTGATGTTATACTGTAAACCCTGCTAATGGACCAAACTCGAGATTTTCAGAACCCAATCTTATGTTACGTTTTATGTTCGGAGTCTTATGTAACAAAGCCACACTCGTCTTTATCCCAATGCTTCGGGGTTTGCTGTACATATTCACGGTTTTAATGAATTAAAAAAAAAAAACCAATCGTATTTCTTACTCATGAGCGATGTAGTTAGTCTTTGTACATATTTATAATCGTTTTGCGGTGTTTTATGACTTTATTGTAAGTGAAAATGCATTTTAGTTCTATAAGTTTTCTAGGCAATGTTAATAAAAATCATTTTAACGGACTACTGCGTTGGACAGTCGAATCTCTTAGACAGAAAGACAAAAAAATAAGACGAGAGAACGAATGAAAATGAATTGTAATTCATAAATAAAATTATATACACATATTTTTATTGTTTTTTTGAATCATTGTAACTTCTAGGAATGCAATTCTCGTACAAAAATTATTTATATTATGGACGGACACTTTGAGAATCGTATTGCATTAAAATCAATTTTATAAATTTAAATAGTCACAAAATTAAACATGTTTACGTAAAATGAATTGATAATTTATTTTAAAATTAAAAAACTTATACAAAATTTCATCATTATCCTAATTTAATGTTAAGTACTGGAAATACTGTTATGACAAACTATTATGGCATTATTTTGTAAAATTATGATCTTAATCGCAGAGCGTGTGATGTTCTATAACTGTATCATCACTAATTATAATAGTATTTTCTTCAGGGAAATCTTGCAGTAGCTCTATTTGCGCGGTCAGCTCTTGCAGACCCCCAATCAGTTCATTCAATGAAACCTGCAATAAATATAAACAAATGAGAATTTTTATTTACTTTTACATTAGATCATATTAATTATAGTTTTAATGAATTGACTATGACTGTCCCCGTCGTAATTTTGGCACAACAATGACACAGTGGCTTAGTCTTACATTTCATCATTTACAGTGTGTCACTTTTGTGATGAGAATACGATATAATATTTAATAACGCGAAGCTTTTCTCTAGAATCTGTTGTTACTGAATGATTTTTTAAATAGAAAAACCTCCAGCTTTTTATAAATATTGTACTGAATTTGGAGACTTAGCTCGATACATTACAATTACAGTACATTTCCCACACAATGAAAATAAGCATGCAGCGAATGTATTAAAAATTATGTACTATGCAATGAATATGAACACCACTATTTGCTTGTGTGGAAATTTGTATGTTAGAATGTTTATGAGGCAGTAACCAATGTGGACTACTAGAGCAGCAAGTAATCAGTAAGGTAAAAAATCGTATTGGTTGCTTCTGCTCTTTACGACACATTGACGAAAACTGCTTTTGATAGCTGTAAGTAAAGACAATTTGCCTTAAACATTACAGAAAACAACCAACTAATATAGATACTGATAGTTTAATAACGTAATAGTATTAGTACTATTACGGCAATAGTAAAGAATCACGCGTATTCAGACGCACGATTTTGTAAATTATAATCTCAGATCCGTACATTTTGTAAACGTGGATCGAATGAGCTTTACTAAAACTCTTTGTTTTATTAGAATGAGATATAAGTAGAATAATTTGACGGAGATCCAAACTACATTAAGTTTGTTTTCAAATATAAGGGCTGAACACAGCAGCATTTGTTTAATTTCAATATACTTACTTTTGATTCTTCAAATTCTTTCAAAAAATTGTCCATATTGGAATCTTCACCTTCGAACTGGCCGGCCAGTACTTTCAAGTGGTCAGGTAAAATTGAGGTATCTAAACCTTCACTTGTATTATTTCGCAGTACTCTAAAAGGAAAACAAAATATATGAAGTGAGATCAAACATTATCCGTATATAGTAGAACATAACGCCAATTATGTTTAATATTAGATAATTAAAATGATAAAGAACAATTTAAGTTTTTCATTCCATATTCCCTTAATAGAAATGTATCAACTATTTTATTCTATAAATATGAAAATGAATACAATTAAGAATTTTTTTTATATTTGGTTTTTGGGTTTAAATCTGTTAAAATGCCTATTTCTGTTGATTACTTTTGGTAATTGTCTTTTTATACTTTAGTATTTTTAAAGCTTTCAATTAGAAAGACATTGGTCACCGCTTCACTTGAACAAGCAATATCGGGGAGAAACTGTTGCGCAGCTGCCTCTACTAAAATAATATAATAATATATTTTCTCACTCAACTTACAAATAATAGATATATTTAATACGTTTTTTATTTTTTTTTATGTTTGAGAGATTACTGGTGGTCCGGAGGCCTTTCCAGTTTGACTAAGACAGGTGGATGAGCAAAGGCTCAGCCAGGAGGGTTGGGATTTGCTATCAGCTACCCGAGCGCCAAGGAGACATAACGACTCGAGAGTAGCTGCTTCGTGAATGAATCTACTACCGGATCGGGATCGACCCGCTGAGAACGTTCGGCGAGAAACTCAGCGGGCTGATGTTTAGGTTAGGTTGCACGTCGAACTCTTTGCAAAGTTCGACGAGTACGGTTACTTTACGGGGTCTCTACTCCTAGTGTTAGAGCTAAAGGTGTCTAATGCAAGGGTTATTGGACCTGATGGATTCGTAAGGACGTGATCTTTAATATGTGCTCAGTGACGCACAGTATGTAGTTGCACTTCGTTTACCTCAGTATCCTTCTTCTGGTGTATTCGTGTCCAGTGAGCAAAGTGACGGTAGCCAGGGCCGTAGCGGTGGCAGTGTCCCGAGCTCTGCGCTCGACTTGCGCCCAGTCAACCTGCAGCGACACCGTATGTCGAGAACGTGGCTTCACGACGCACCGGTCGCCCAGCCAGGAAGCTGTTTTTGACACTGACATGTATTGTACTGGAAAATAAATAAATTCAACCGTGAAATTTTTTACTAGAGATAATATTAAAATCCAAATTTAAACATAACGTATGGCTTGTAGCGGGTAGCTAACGTAGAACACAAAATATTCGGTTCCGCGAGTAAATTAACCCTTAGACATGGCCTACTGACTTACTCGCCGGATCTTCTCAGTGGGTCGCGTTTCTGATCCGGTTGTAGATTCTGCGAAGCACTGTTCTTGCTAGGGCTAGTGTTAGCAATTTCTCTCAGGTTCGTAAGCCTTGGCCTACCAGGTCAAGTTTAACTGGAGGCTACCAGTGAACATCTACATACATTGTGAACATTGTCAAACTCTAGTGGTTTTTAAATTAGATAACACAAAACTATATGTCAAAATATAAACTTACAATTAAAATGTACTCGCGCACATACAAAAGTTGGCATGGCTGATTTGTTGTAAAGCTCCAAGTTAATTGGCATCCTAGTGACGGCGCGCACTAGTGCGGTGTCGCCATACGTGACCAGGCCCGACCAACGCATATTCTCTCCACTGGCACACGCAAATAGTTTCACCTAAAGTTCACAAAAATTTCAAAATTAATATTTCGTGCCTCTTTGGAGATTCGACAACGAAATGTGAAATATGTTTTTCAATTTATTTATGTTTGCTGATTATTTTTTTTTGTCAAACTCATATAGGAGGGGCCAACGTTCAGCAGAAGCCCATTTGAGTGAGAGAGCTCAAGGCCCACTTGAGATATAAGGCCGAAGTCTCAATGGTGTAGAATAATGGATGTCCCACCCTTAAAAATAGAAAGATGACTGCTTCACAGCAAAAATGGGCAGGATGGCGGTACCTATCCTAGCGAGCTCACAACACAATCCGATAATCAGTAGGTTTTTGTTGTTTTGTTCATCGGGAGTCGCGAGATTTGAAACCTGACAAATTTTCATCACTCAACAAGAACGAACAGAAGTAACTAAAGAGTCTTATTCTTTAGACCACAACGACTTCAAGAAACATTATTATGTGCTTGATGAAATATATAAAAATAACTAATAACTTAATGCATGTAATAAATTATAGCTACCTTTCTCGAATAATCACTGTTTTTGTCTAACATTAAATTTAACATCCCCGCTTGAGGGTGGTTGGTGGTGGGCGAGAATATTATCGGCAACGGTCTACACTCCATAGGTCCAAACGTGAGACTATAGATACCCCTGTTATCGCCGCGCGGTAGATCCACAGAAAAACCTTCTCCGAAAACTTGACAACGAATTTGTATTCTTTTATTTAAAGAATTTTTTAAACTCAATTCTTTTCTGCCGCCTCGCACCCAAGACATAATGTTGAAATTCGTTTTTATCGGAAACGTTTTCGGCTTCTCTGTTCCACCAGAAATTTCAATTGATGTCTGATGAAAGGATGCTGTTTCTTCGAATATTAACTTTCTGCAAACAAAACAACTCTAATGAGCTGACAAGATATCATGGACCTTTCACAAAAACAGCGACAAGCGTTAATACTATTTCACAGAAGACAACAATCATGATTGGGAAATTTAAACGTATTTACATTTTTTGTTTACATGCAATATTTACTATAGGCCATTTCTATTTCCTATAGGCTTATAGCTTATTACATAAGACTTCGAGAAAGAAGGACTTCTTAGAGCCAGTATTACAATCAAAAGTTATTTTTATGCAATGGATTTAGCAGATTGAATTAATTTTTATCTACTTACGCGTTACAGACAACACCTTCAGCGCCGTCGTAGTTCAAATTAACGGTTTTCGTACCGCCAGGCTGCAACTCGAAGTTGGACGGCGCGACTTTAAATGGAATCTCTACCGAAGAGTCACTTCTCAGCTTCGCTATCCACGTTCCTGGTATTGAACCGGCATTTTGTACTTTTATGCTGATCGCCTCTATAACAGTTAAACATATAAGTTTTAAGTTATCAATAAATGGATTTATTTTCTCATTTACGTTAAGGTGGTCATAATATCGTAGAATCCGCGGTACTCGAAGTTGTGTCTGAATCTAGGCCAAATTGTTCAGCTACGCAGAGAATTGTTCGAGAAGGAAGTCTGAATACAACTATCTAGGCCAAATTGTTGAACTAGGCAGGGCCAACTTCGAGAAAGAAGCTGATAAGCGCATACAGTTGGGCTGGTCTGAGTATGGAAAGCTCCGTCATTTATTTAATTCGGCAATCCCGCAATGATTAAAGACAAAAGTCTTCAACGCATGCGTGCTACCAGTCATGGCATATGGCGCCGAAACGTGGACATTGACGGTAGGTCTGGTCCGTAAGTTCAAAGTCAATCAACGTGCTATGGAAAGGGGTATGCTCGGAGTTTCTTTGGTGGATCTAGTCAGAAATGACAAAATCGGTCGAAGAGCAAAAGTAACCGACATAGCCCTAAGTATTAGCAAGCTGAAGTGGCAATGGGCCGGACATACGAGTCGCAGAACCGATGGCCGATGGCGCAGACGCGTTTCGGACTAGAGACCACGTAACGGTAAGCGCAGCGTTAGGCGCCCCCTTTTTTTTCGGGCAGGGGGCCGAACCTCATGTGAGGCTGCCGCGCCTAGGGGGCGCGCAGGGTATATAGGAGTTGACGGTCTGCAGATGTTCAGAACAGACCGCGAGTCCAAGGATGTTTAAGGGCCCTACCCACCAAACGACTCCCCTTGCACTCTCTCACCCGACGTCCATCTCCACCTGGGGTCAAAACCCAGTCAGAGTAGGGGGTTCCCGCGGTCAACACTACAACCAGACTCGCGGCGCCACCCCTAGGATGCCCGGTAGATTGATGACTTGCGGCGATGTGCTGGAGAAGATTGGATGCGGAAGGCGAAGGACCGTTCATTGTAGGGGACTATGGGAGAGACTTACATCCAGCAGTGGAGAGATACAGGCTGATGATGTTAAGATGGTGGTCCGACGCGACATTAGACACGGGAGCTATTCCCCGTGCATCAGTATGTATTTCGTTTTTGAAAACTGTCTCAATGAGACAACACACAATCGGAAAAAAATTTACAAACAATACAATTTAATTACCAAATCACTATCAATTACCTTTGGTTAATTGCAGTCTATTGGGTGCGTTGACGACGAGTTTAACCGTTCCCACGATTCCAATTAAATCAACTCTCCTCAGAACTGTATTGACACCGATCAAATTAACATGCAACGCGCCATTAAACGTCACGATTGGATCAGCTGAAAATTAATTTGTACATAAATATAAAATTATTGATCATTAGGGCCAAGACCTATGTAACTTAATTGAAGAATAAAAGCATATAGCTTGTTTAGTAGGGACCGAGACTAGCAATAACCCCATCTGTTCAATATTTATTGTACTAAATAGTTATAATTATAACTAGTTTTAACTGTAAAAGTGCTTAAAATATATGACCCTAAAAAATAGTTTTTTTTTTATTGCTTAGATTGGTGAACGAGCTCACAGCCCACCTGGTGTTAAGTGGTTACTGGAGCCCATGGACATCTACAACGTAAATGCACCACCCACTTTGAGATATAACTTCCAAGATCTCAGTATAGTTACAACGGCTGCCCCACCCTTCAAACCGAAACGCATTACTGCTTCACGGCAGAAATAGGCAGGGCGATAGTACCTACCCGTGCGGACTCACAAGACGTCCTACCACCAGTAAAAAAAGTATCAAAAAGTCGGTCATTACACTAAATTTATATGTATTTTGTTATATTAGCGGTAGGCAGCGACTTGGCTCTGCCCCTGGCATTGCTGAAGTCCATGGGCGACGGTAGCCACTCACCATCAGGTATTCCGTATGGCCGTATGGTGTAGGCACAAGGGCAATAAAAAAAAGAAAAAAAAAAAGATTTAATTGTTATAGTCAGTTGTTATAACAGAATAGGTACCTTTACAAGTGTTACTATGACGGAAATAGCAAGTTTGTTTTTCAGATTTGTGACGTCACTTTAGTTGATGATCTATGTATAAACAGGCAAATAGAACAGTATAATTTGCTGTTTTGTTTGATACCTATTGTAAAGCTTATTAATATACATTTTTGGATATAATTAGTTTTTTTTTTTTATAAAAAAGACATCTAACTAATCGGTTAACTAATGTTTTTGTTTGTCAATCGATTTTTCATGTTTTTTGTTAGATCCTTTCGAATTGACGAACAACAAGTTCTATCAAAAGTCATACTGTAAAAAGGGTACAGCAAAACAAGGGTTGAATTTTATTCTAATTAAAACAGTTCTGTTCAGAGATCGTTTTTGTGGGTATTTTTCTTTTATTTTGATTGGCCCTGTTCTAAAGCATTACGAGTAAGTTTATGCTATTTAAACGTAACTGTATCCGTGACATCAACATCTAAAACCTAAATAACTTACCAATTTTCAATTCTGAGAGCACAGGTGCAATAAACTTGATGGTAACTCTGATTGCGTTTCCACTAGCTAGTCTAAACAATTGCTTATTCATTCCTTTGTTTTTAGTTTTTCCTTGTGTCTCATCATTCGACCCTTGGCGGTCCAATAACACCTTGTTGATTTCGCTCCTTTTTATCTCTTGAACATTCTTTATAGCAAACATACTCTCGCCCTCCGCTATAGACATGTCCAATTGTAGATCAACTTGAGATTCGCTGACTAAAACGAACGATTTCACGAGAGAACATTTCTCTTGGATCGGCTGAAAGGAGATCATGTTCATGCCGTCACACGACACCGCTTGAACGACTGGCATTTGAATATTAATATCAACATTGCCTTTCTGCTCGACTTCGCTGTCTATGGCGGCATCTTTTAGATAAATCGTAAACGGTAGGGTCGCCTCTATTTCAACGTTCGATGTGATATGTAAAGTGAACTGCTCCGATTTTCCGGGCGATAAAAGCAGCGGTAATCTTGGCAGTTCGATGTTTAAGTCCTTGCCTCCATTGGGTAGGTCATCAAATTTGAATTTGGCCGTTAACCAATTTTCTGTTTTTGTTGTTATGGTTATGGTTATTGCACAACTGACACCTAAAATTTATAAAATCATCATATATTTAACGTAAAATTTAATCCATGTATGTAAAAATAAAAAAATTGTAAAAATAAGTTGCAACTAATATGACATATAATTTTTTAAGAAATGCGAACAATTTTTTCGTTGTATTCATAATTGTCAAGGTAAAGTTTGCATGAAACAACGTTTGTTGGAAATCTATATATATATAAAAAATAATTGCTGTTCGTTAGTCTCGCTAAAACTCGAGAACGGCTAAACCGTTTTAGCTAATGTGGAAGTCCAGAGAAGGTTTAAAAGGTGAAAAAATATGAAAATGCTCGGAATTATATAAAAACAAACAATTTTGTTTTTCCTTTGATGTGTCCCTGTCGGACGGATTCCTTTTGTTTTTTTTAAGTTTATTTTATACAAAAGTTTAGGTCTTTTATTTATCGATTGAGGCACTACAGAGTCTACCGGGTCAGCTAGTCGACAATAAAAATTTTATACTATTAACAACAACATCAGAACATTGATTTTTACAAACTAGTTAATTTTTTATGTTAATGTGCACTGACTTAATCTTCTAGCTGTAATAGTGACTCACATTCAGACTAATTTAATCATAAGCAATATTAAAATGAGTGTTAGCAATAGTATCATTATTATATCATTTGAATGATTACTTACCTACAAATCCGTGAACAAGTGATGTCGTTATCTCAGCCCATTGTTCTGTGAAGAAAAAAATAATAGTAAATGACCTTTGCAAAACTTAATGCCAATGACGATCTATTCTTTGACAATGACATATTTTATACGTATATTAAATAGTAGATTGATTTATGAGGTAGGTTTGAGTTATTTAAGTTAGTTTTGAAAGAAATGTGGTAAATTTTAGTGTTGTTAGAATAAAGCCCATGTTTATGAATAAAGCCCCACAAACCTTTAGCCAAAGCCTCTCGTTTCAAAAGTTTCAGTTGCATTACCTCGTGCCAATCTACAGACTTATCTAACTCTTTGTATTTACTGTTTGGGGAGGGAGCGTGTGACGTACTAGGCTCTCCTGAAAAAGCCAACTAAATACACGTATCGAAATAAAGTCACAATAACAATGAAGAATATTTTAAATAAGTGCCTCAAAAACACCTGATAAGCCATAAAAAAACAAAAACTATAAATCTCTATTAATTACCTTTGTTTGGATGTATAGGACTGTCCCCAGATTTAAAACTAGATTTCTCTTGAACAGTGATTATCGTAGATTGGCTTTTGCTTGACGGGGATCTTGATCTAGTCAATCTTTTATTTTTCATATCTTCCATTTCCATTTCGTGTACAGTGTGATTGGTGATTATAACTTCAGGTATTTGCTTCTGAATTTGTTGAACATTGTCCAAAGTGATAACGGTACTCACTGAAGCTGTAGAGCTGGCCGTCTCGCCCTTTTTCGTATCTTTCAGGAGAGTCACTGGTTCAGAGTCATATTTGCTCTCTTGTTTATTCATTTGCAGCTCTGTCAGTGGTGATTTTCTATTCGGTTGTTTCTTCATGTAATTTTGTAGTAGTTCACTTACACTCACATTTGAATGTTTTCCTAATAACAATGAATGTAAAGATAAAATTTTATTCACTTCACTTCATCTCCATTGTATCACGGTGCAGTAGCGTATGAAGTGAGTTTCAGCGGAGCTACTAAAAGATTTGTATTGTGGACCCAACATTGGGTCACAATTCCATCCCCCGAGGATACCGTCGAATCCATAAACATCTTCACTGATCACGTCTCGACGGCGATCATAAGATCCTCGAAACAAGTCGATGTGGAGGACTGCTTCCACCGCATCAGACTTTCCCCCGAACTTAGGGACCTCGTTAGAATTAGAAACGCGGCAATCCGGGCCTACGATCGATATCCCACGGATTCAAACCGGACNCACAGCCCACTGAGTTTCTCGCCGGATCTTCTCAGTGGGTCGCGTTTCCGATCCGGTGGTAGATTCTGCGAAGCACGACTCTTGCTAGGGTTCGTGTTAGCAACATCGTCAGGTTTGAGCCCCGTGAGCTCACCTACTAAAGTTAGGGCTACGCTGAAATAGCCGCTAGGGCTATCAGCTTAGGTAGGAAAAAAAAAAAAAAAAAAAGGGTCACAATAACTTATTAAATGATCCTTCACCAAAATGCAAATGATACTGCAGAATAGTACTGTTACTAACTGTAACTATACTAAGATCTTAGAACTCGTATCTCAACGTGGATGGCGGCATTTACGTTGTAGATGTCTATGGGCTCCTGTAACCACTTAACACCAGGTGGGCTGTGAGCTAATCCACCAATCTAAGCAATATAAAAATATATATCTATACAAAGCAAAGCTTCATTTAAGCATTGTAAAATTAATTGTTCTGATTTTTACTACTTATTAAACAAATTTAAATCGACAATTCCGAAAACTACTCTTTTGCATTAGCACTATACACCGTGTGGCAGACCGCATTCAGGCATCATTTTGAGCAGTTATTAGCCTATCAGGAAGGAGCATTCGGGAACATTTAAGTAAGCGTTGCGTTAAATTATCACTTACCTCCTAGATAATCGGCTATTTTGGATATACTAAAAGAATTCTCAGTTAACTCATCAGTTTCGTCAGAAGTTAATTTCAAAGAGGCCTGTAGGTTCTTTATCAGAACATCGGTGGGAGTCATTGCAGAATGTATGCCTTTGTGTCTGCCCTGTGCTCCTGGGTTCAAAGTAACGGATCCCTGCATGTTGTACGTCGGTTGCTGCTGGAGTTTAACCGCAGATGGCACTTCTTTGTTTTTATCGCAGGATAATGGAATTTTGAAAGAAGCTTTTTCAATCGTTTTGCTGGCCGCAGCTCTGTTCGTGCTCTGTTTTTCAATGTTAGTCTCGCGCGGTTGCCGAACCGGCACGGAATCTAAGGTGTTATCCATAATGGTATTTAAATTCTTTGGTATTATTTTTGAAGTAGCGTTTGTTGAAGCTGTAAGTAGAATTTGAATGCATTATTTTCTAAAATTTTATTGATTTGATATTGTCCGATTTTAGGGTTGATTTTTCAATTGTCAGTAAAATAAATGAGATAAAATACAACATTTACACACGAACAAATTAAGTTACAGTTGTATGAACAAAATAATTCAATTAAATTCGCTTTTGGATTCATCATCATCACCAGCCCACAGAAATGTACTGCTGGATAATATACCATAGGCCTCCCCCAAGGTTGATCATAATGACCGATTCTGCACTGCCTGTATCCAACAAATTCCTTCTTCTACAAGTTGTCGGTACACTTTATGGAAGACCTCATGCCAACGCTGTGCCAACCAACACGTGCTCACCACTCTTAATTTTTTTTGCATCCTGCGCTATAAGCGTAGAAGATACGATCAATATTCCCTGCCCACTACCATTTCAAAATTACAATCCTATGAGCTGTGTAATTTACTTAAATGCACACAGTGATGTCATAATTTTCTTTATGGGCAACATAAGTTTGAAATGGATAGTTGATGGATAATTATTATTTTAGAATGGAACCGCCCGCTTCGTACCGTCCGGCTTTGTAACAAACTCCCCTCCACGGTGTTTTCTGAGCGCTATGACTTGTCCCATTCTAAATGAGGCTTATGAAGAATACTCAAGGCAGCGGCTTTGCTGTGCCCATGGCATTACTGTCGTCTATGGCGTCATGGCGTCTATGAGCACACGTTTTTAACTTAACCGAAACGCAAAAAAAACAGGAAGCATACTTGTCTCTAATAATCGGTTAATCAAATAGATATATAAACCAATAACGATCAGAACGTACCTTCAGTGACGCTCGGAAACGCTGATCTATCAGGGCTATCCGTTTTGCCAAGCATTCGAGCAAAATCCGGACATCTGTATTTAAAATAAGCTCCCACTGATAAGTTAGAGTTGTCCATTCTAAAAAAAATAAAATAAAAAAAAAATATGTACAGCAAGTAGCTTGCTGTAGAAGATTACGGTGTCATGACATTTAAAAAAAAAATAAGCCCTCCAAACGCAACCTTTCATGCCTTCAATAACAATTTCATTTAATAAATTACCCAAACACTCAATACTAATACTTCTTCAGTATCGAACCTAGGTATCTATCATGAAGTACCTCCAGTACAAATAAATTCAGTGACCATTAATTAATTCGTAAATGAATTAGATACAGAGAACAGATCTTGTTCGATATTACGAAAGATTGAACACTCATTCTAGATAATACACAAAAACACTACAAAGTCCATGAAATAGGGCGATTGTCGTGTGGTGAAGAGCTGTGGACAGGTGGCCCTTTCAGATGATTCAAGAAATATTAAAAAATAAACTGAAAGCTTACGAAATACTGTCAGGAAACTGAGCTTGTGTCTGCTGTATTGGTAGCGGAGCTTCCCTTCGTATCAAAGATTCTTCATCAGCTGATAAATCCCTCTAAAGAACATTGTAACGTGTACAGTGTAACAAAGTATGCATTGCAATAAATAGCAAGATGGGAAACTTTCTCGAACAACAAATCACAGTACTGGTAATTCCCAACATGAATAATATCATTAAAAATGACTTGATGAACTACACATTTTTTTAAAACAATTCTAAAACAGGTAATACACAAGTCAATAATCTCAAGTCACATGCATTATAAAAATTCCTTTATATTTTTTTAAATCTCATAAACAGATTAGTCAGATCAATTAAGTTTTCTGCTATAAGCTTTTAGAATATAGAATTAAAGGTAGGTACTCACTTTGGACTGAAATGAGAATTCTGAAGCAATTGAGTGTCTCATAATATCCTGGACCTCCAGAGTTTGTCTGTTCATCTTATTAGTGATGCTATCTAGTGTGACAGAATGACGATTGATTGGAGCCGTTTTAGAATTTATTTCATCTGCCCCAGTTGATCGCCCTGTCATTTCTCCGGGATTGAATGCTGTCTATAAAGTAGATCACATGACTTTTTCTGATGATACACTTTTTCTTTTAAAAGTTGTTAATGTTATCACTAATATATAATTTACATATATATATATGATTTGGAAAATATTGTTACTATAATTATAATGAGGATACTGGAGCTCATTGAAACAATTAAATCGAATATTGCCAGCCTGCCACTGACTCTCACACTATCTGAAAGCTGACAACCGATTCATCAAACTGAAATGTAGGATGGCTTAGTACTCATTTATGCATGGTTCCTACATGGCCAACCATCGGCTTAGATTGTTTATTGTATGGATATTAAGTAAAGTTCAATACATATATTTAATAAAATAGTACACAGAACAGTTCAATAAAATATTTTGTGTAGAGCAGTTATCCATTTCCATTTTAATAAGTGTTGTAATATCAAATGTTTCTTAATAAGATTCTTGTTTTTTAATTATCATTTTTTCTTTAGAAGATTGTTGTTACTTACCGATTTACTGAGGGATATATTTTCAGAGACTGATTCACCAAAGGCTAAAAAATTAGATTCAATCAGAGGTTATGGATTTTTAAATTATAGTATAGTAATTTATTTTAAATATAATTTCCAGTATCAACAAAATATATAATGTGTGACTACAGTATCAAAATACAGAAACATTAATCTGGGTATATTAGGCGAACTTAGCCTTAGATCCAATTTTGGTAGGTATATGTGTGATACTTGAGTGTTTGCTAAGTGTTTTACGACATAACTTGATATGTCTTTGGATTCTGGTAGCCGCATAACATCGGGTATGTTTTTATCTATCCTTAGTGACATTAGATTAAGGGAAACATACATACAAATCATTATCAATACAAATTTACGATCTCATTCAAATACAATTCGTATAGGTAATGAATTTATCCACCTACCTTCAACTCGTTCCAAGTCTAAAATACCGGAAGAAGATTCGCAGTTGAAAGTTGATTTGTTGACCATTATTTGTGCAGCAATCCTGAAACCAAAAAATTCGCACAAAATAAATACTTAAGTAGCACAGATTTCTTCCATCGTGCAAGGGGTAATAATTACATTATGATGTAGTAATATAAAGGTTTAGATATAAAACGTACCTGTAGACAAGTTTATATTCCATCCAGATATCAAACAATAAAGTCTTACCTTTTCATATCATCGTCACTCATCTCTCTGAGACGTGCGTTTTGGAAAGACCTATCTTCTGCTAAGTTTAGCAGCCTTTGTATTTTATTCGGAGTCATTATAGGATTATCCATCTTTCGCACTTTATTTCTAACACAGTCGTAGGATTTTTTGAGACCTTAATTTTACGTTACTTTTTAAAAGTTTCAAAACAAACGTCAGATGGCGATGAATGATGAATGAACATAGACCTATATAGTATGAATGAATGAACTATCAACTACGAAATCACATTTAGGGTGCGTTCCACTAAGCGTTCACAACGATCACGCTCACGACCGCAATTTTTCCCGTTCCACTTGCTTGTGAGCGTACTGTCGCAAACTCAAGTGGAATGGATTTATAGAGCGTTTTGAGCGTGGAGGTAAATAATTCAAACGGCGAGTTAATAAAAAGCTTTAAGAGGTTAGGTAATAATCTGTAAGCCTTGAAAATAAACTTATATAATTATTGTTTAAATCGATTCATATTGAAAACATTTATAATTTAATCTTTTATATTTAATATTAGTGGTGTATTTAATTAATTTACGTTCAAATGTAATTAAAATGTCTTTTCGGCGGCTTTTCGGCACTTGGATATTTGCTAAGAGATCGCAATAGTCAATAGTGCTCCAGATAGTATCTCTTTCCGCATAAAATAACGTAAGCTTAACGGTCGCCATTTTTTATACTTTGAATTTTGAAAACGCCGCTAATTTTCTCAACGATCACTTCGACCCACCTTTTTAGATGGGTCGTCGTGGGCTTCGCGTGAGCGTAAGTCATGACGTCATAAGTGACGTTTTCGCCGCGACCACAACGACCGCGGTCGTTATGTGGAACGACTAAAGGAGTATTTTGATCGTTGTGGGCGCTTAGTGGAACGTACCCTTAGATATCGTAGACCTATAGGTCCCGATAAATGGGGCGATTAGGGATTGAGAGGCGAATGAAGAAAAAACCAGGAAAATCTTTAAACGCTCAATATTAGTTTTTTAATCGTTGCAAAATCTTCTATTTTTTGTAGTGAACGTTGTAGTAGAACGTTGAAAGTTCACAGAACAACTGTGAATATGCATGATAATAGCTGCTCACTTATAAAAAATCGTATTTCAAATTAATTTCTTGCGCTGGTAATTATTTTAGGGTTAGAAACTTTGATTTCTTTTATTTATCTGATAATAATAGACGACTGTGATTTATAAACGTTATTTAGTGTTTGAACCATCATATATATTAAAGGTAAGTCTCAGTTGTTATTGGTTTTATGTTTTTGATAAAATAAAAATACATGTAAAAATCTATTGTTTTTGGGGATATTGGGGACGTTTCAAGTACAAAGTACAAATAACAACGAAAAAGGGGTCAATTGGGATGAGAATAATTAAAATGGAAACGAACTAAGTAAAATTAGGTACAGGTTTGTAGGGTTGTCTATGTAGTTATAACAATATTTTTTAAATTTGTTGGTAAGAATCTGGTTTATTCATGAAATTTTTTGTCTAGAAGGTTTATTCAAATTTATCAATGCAGTGTTATTTTATTGTTTGGCAAATATTTATATTATCAGTTCCATGCTGTTTTCTATTTTTAGATATGCCTCGCGTGTACGTATCAAAGAGTGCAAATCCTTATAAGAGATATGATCCCTTAATATTAAAAACAGTAATAGAAGCCTATGAAATTAAAGTCTTTACTTGAAATACCTAAGCAATTTACCATAAGTAAGTCGATTTTGCACAGACATGTAATAAGAACGAGGAAATCTCAAGGTGGACAAAAATGTGTAAGTAATCAATGAAGTAGGAAACCTATGGAAATGAAACGTCAACCAAAATTTCGTGCCACTGTGACGTCATCTGGCCACAAAACATGGCGGCTTTAGTGCTGTACAAAAGATTTCAATGTTATCAGGTTTTATCGATAAACGTTCTTGGCTCATTTTATTTTAAATATTGTTGAGTATTATTTATTTGTAGAATTTATACTTTAATGGGAAGTAAGTAGGTATATTGTTATGTGCAAATATGATATGATTTAGATGGGTGAAATCTAAGACAAGTTCGTCCTTCGAATTTGCCAAGTAAACGATATGATGATTTTTAAAAGTTGCTACACTGATTTTATAAAGTTGTCGTTTGTCGCAAAACATAAAGATATGGCGTAGTTCAAAGCCATCAGCCCATTTCTAGCATGCTAAATGTTATCGTATTTTGAGTACGTGTTTTTCTTAGACTATTACAATCTATTTTAATTGTTTTGCTGACTCTAAAGTCCGTAACATACTACCGCAGCGCACCCCAAGGAAGGTGCGCCGCACCATTTGAATCACTTTCGCTTGAGAGTGATTCAAATTTTAAACTTATCAAGGGACCGCGTGAAAAAAAAAACACCTACAGAACATTTATTCATTAATTACAAACGTCATTCCTTGTGACTTCCTCTCTAAAATCACTTAATTATTAAATATTTAACAAATTTACAATAGTGTTTTACTCACTGCGGAATAAAACTATTTTATTTAAATAGTTCCGAAGAGATTTTGTCGGTAGCCTTTTTCCCGAAATATCTAAACAGAATGTCTAAATATGTTTTGATGACATATTTTAAAGTGGTATTTATGATTAGTGTCATGATCAATAGATTCCGACCGAAAAATGGATTTTTCGGATGAGGGCTCCATAATGAATTTAAATACATATAGATAATAGTTTTAGGGCATCGACTTTCTTGAGATCCTATAAAATACGTTTTAATTATTATTTTTGTATGTTTTAAGCATGATAAATTATGAAATTTTATATAATCAATCATATTAAATCGATATCAAAGTCAATAAATAATGTACAACCCAAAACAGACGGCCGAACTGACGTGACAATGACATTTGGCGCGCTAAACATGGCGGATTTTCGGCCTCATTAGACGGAGACGGAGATATTTACGTATATTCATGTTTCATTTTATGTACGCACTGAAATACTGTTATATTGTTTTCCTGCGAGTTAAAGTGCTGAGTAAGAACGAGATAGATATATGTTTATGTATGTGCCTTCAAAATGGGTGCTATTTATATAAGCAATTGTACGTATAGAACAATATGTCGTGTCCCTACTATATAGGTCTATGTAAGTAATACATAATAAAATATATTAATATTTGTTCAGAGTGGGGGTATCCACCTGATTAATTCATGGAATAACGGACACACCTAATCTCTTAACCCAGATAAAAATATCAGCCCCTAAGTACTTACTAAGAACAAAGAAATATATAACGCTTATAAGAAAGAGCGCTCGTTCGAATTTAGGTGCTTACTCTCCTTTAAACAGAATCCTTTGGAGTCCCAATAATTATTGTAGTCACAATAATCTCCACGGTAGCGCAGTCTCCGTCAATGTTCATTCAGAGTTGTCCGATTGCGCTGAACTAATTTTATGTGATGAAATAGATGTTTTTTCTAATTGTCTCACAACTTACAATGAAATGAACTAACTACCTAAGACTAATTATTTCTTTAGCCCTTTAATAAAGATGACTGATTAAAAATTTTGCATCTGTGCGGCTTCTCGGATTCTTTCAAAAAATCCACTGAATCTGAATAAATTCCCACCATTTTGCTGGAATACTATTTCAATTCTCATCTAATCTCGTTTCATTACATTTGATTTCATTGAATTTCATCCCAATTGATTAAATTTTCAGATAAATCTACTTCGTTTTGTACTTTTTGGCGAGAACTTGAGAGGCGAAAGTGTGTGAACTGTTTTATTTTCTTAATTTAGTCATTAATCAGGTTTGAATGTACAATAACAGTGGTTTATTAACTGTTTAGCATATGTGAAAGTGCATAACTGTGGGACGATGAAATCAAGACGCTGGACCTAGCTTTTATCGATTTTTCAAAAAGTCCGCTGCCAAAGTCTCAGTAAAAAACCAACATTTTACTGAAACTTTATTTCATCCAATCTCATCTTGTTTCACGAAAGTTTTCACTTTGTAATTATATTGCAATCTTTATAATTCAATGAAAAACCACAAATTATGATCACACATAAGATCGAAGAATTTACAACTAAGCCGCCAAACTGCAAGGCGAGCGAATAACATACCTCCCTTTTTTTTCGGGCACGGGGCCAAACCTCCGACTAGGTCCCCGCGCCTAGGGGGCGTGCGGGGTATGTGGGACTTGTCGATCTGCAGATGTTGGGAGCAGACCGCGGGCCCAAGGATTTTTTTAGAGCGCTACCGCACTAAACGACTTCTCTGCGCTTTTACACCCTAGGTCCAATCTCAGCCTGAGGTCAGAACTCGGTCAGAGTCAGGGGGTTCCAGCGGTCAACACACTCAGAATCGCGACGCCACCCATACATAGGACGCCCGACCGACGAGTCGTCGAGGCGATAGTCAACGACCAACGACGCCGGTCTTCGCGGTACGTCGGCCCTACCAAGCCACCCGAGCAGCGCCGCTTGTGTTCCGGGATACCCCGCTGGGTCAGAACCAGCCTGCCCGGTCGTCGGAACGCAATACACCGCTGACTGGGTTGCTCTTTCAGAGTATGTTCAGCGACGTCTGCAATACGGACCGCATCGCGTACCGCTGCCGATGACTCGTCGTCCCATCCGCCTGGTGCCAGCACGCTAGAGTGATGGTAGCGTGCGGCACAGCATCGACCCCCTTAGGTCACCCCGTGACCATCACCGGGAGGAGACTGCCTCCTCAAAGGGGGCGAAAAGCATACCAACACCAACCACTTTGACAACTATATGGTATCTGATTCCAGTGGCAGATTCAGAGAAATACTTACTAGGTCAGATACTAACAAAGTCTCTCAGGCCGAGCTTTGTGAGCTCGCATACTGCATTTGGCGTAAAACAGTGGGGCATTAGGTAACCAGTGTTTGCGAAAATGCACAATTAAGAGAACATCCACAAACTTTGTAAAAATGACTTGATAAAAATAGTTTTATACAGCAGAATAGAATAGGCGAGAAAATATCGCCGGTTTGTATACATACTTCGAAAGGCTTTAGCGTCATTTAACTAACATCAACTTTTTTCTAAGGTAACAGGTCTAATTCGTTGATACAAGCGATATAACATAGGTACATCCGAAATAATAGGTTGGGGAAAAGTATTTTCGCATTATAGTATGTATGAACCAGCGATGAGAGATGCTTGCAAAATTGAATACCAGGGCTACGAATACCGAAAAATACCAGGGTCATAAAACAGGTTTTAAAAATACTGGAAAGTATACTTTTTTTATTTTTTTTTCTATCTTCATTTTCATCTAAGCAATAAAAAAAATAAAAAAAAT